AAAAAAAAATCTAAAAACCTGAAAAACCAAAGGTACCATGAATGAAGCAAAACACAGTAGGATGAAGTCTACAGACTTCTGATACTGAAGCTAACACAGAATACAAACACATACATTTGCTATGTCAAAGACGTAAAGAGAGGCCTGAAAACATGATCGAGGGCTGGGAGACTACAGAAATGACTCAGCAAGCATGAATAAAACACAGATAGAACTATTGTTTTTTTAATAATGAAAGCACAAATTAGATGAAAAGGTTAGAGAACAAAGACACAGCTTGAAGGGTAAATCTGGGACCCGGACGGAAGAAGTCCCCCAGAACATAGCCCAGGGAGACACCCAGAGAAGAATGATGAGCTGGGATTTGCTGGGAACATGGTGCTGTGAACACTCCATGCTGTGGTCAAGATGGCAAGGACGGCAAGAGCTGTGCTCGGAGCATCCTCACAACTTTAAAAAATGAGAAAAAAATAGGTGGAAGATACAATGCACAGATCGAACATACGTTTACCCCGATGTCCGGAAGGAGCTCACCAAGGGAATGGGCAAGAGGCAAGACACAGACACACACAGTTGGAGAATTACCCGAGTAATTTTTGTCAAGAGACAAAAACCTTCACATCCAGGAAGCTTGCAAATCCCAAGGAAAGACTTAAATCTCTCTGTACACACCCGGTGTGAAGTTACACAATGCTAAAGACCAGGGGAAAGACCACCGGCCACCCGCAGGCCAGCCACCAGACCGACACCAGCACCAAGATGGCGACCGTGGGTCTAAGGGACGCAACGGCAACGAGCCTTCTTCTCCTCACGCCGTCTGAGAAGGCAACACGGGGTTATCAGGCAAACAAGAGCTGAAAGATCCCCATCAGAGAATGGTCTTAGGGGCCCTCCTTGGTGGCGCAGCGGGTTGGAGCGCCACATTGGCCTTTACCCCATGTCCGTATGCACAAATAAATTAAAAAAAAAGAGAGAACCTCCTTAAAGCAAGGAGAAAGTGAGCCCAGATGGAAGGTCCCCAGGCAAGATGGAAGAGGAAGCAGCCCCACCGGCAAACAGGGAGAAACCTGCACACCACAGTACAAACCTGTCATTCACAGAGTCAAAGCACCCAACGGAAATACCTGACATGACAGCCGATGACTGGGACGGGGATGAATGAGGCTAATGCACCCTCAGGCCCTTGAAATAGTGAGAGAGGGAACGAAGACACTCAACTTAGACTTCGTGTTTACCTACAAAAGTATCCCCAGTGACCACTAAGGAAGTCAAGAATAGAAACAAAAAAAAAAATCAAGAGCAACATAAAGTGACTCCCCACGCGCCCCGATGGTCACCAGCTCCCTGACTCTGAAGGCCCTGGGCTCTGCTGGGAGCGTCACGGGGCCAGGCTGCTCGCGCGCCTCCCCGGCCCCAGCTCCGCCGCAGCCACAAACACTACTCTGTCACCACAGCGTTCACAGCAGAAGTCTGTGCTGTGAGAGAGTCTAAAGTCCTTTCTCAAGTCTCATCACCTTCCTGTCTTATATTTTCAACCTTCTAGGAGAAGAAGGGAGTAAAGCTAAATTTGGGGGCGGGAGGGTAGCCAAGCACGAATTCCACTCAGGCTACCCTTGCTTACGCCTGCTCTGCTCACGTCTAATCAGCGGGGCAGCGCCCCTCAGGAGTCGGGGGCTCGAGCCCGGGTCATATTAGAAGTGGCTGTGGGGAGGAACCGCGGCTGTTGCTCAGGGCAGGCGAGTGAGCTCCACACAGCTGGTTGTCCGAAAAGCCATGATGCATTTTTGTTTGAAAACACAGGGAAAAATACATAATGGCTTTTCCAGCAACCCAAGAGATCCTTAGAAACAGTGAGCACTTGTTAGCAGAAGCAACCTAATGACGCCAAGCAGCTCGGCCTCTGAATACACTTCCATACACCTCTCAGCAGGGCATCCTAATTTCAGTTAAGTCCACATGGCTAAAGCTCGCTAATGACAATGGGTGTTGGGCTGGAATGCCAACTGAGTTGAAGGCTAAGGATTCAAAGAGCTACAGGCAAATAACCTGGTGGAAACGTAGTGCACAATCAGACGATCACATACACGCCAAGTCAGTGGGATTTTAATGCAAATTAACATGACCAGCAATTGTGTAAAGTCGCCCGGTTACTTTTCAGGCTACTGATTTTTGGCATAGGTAAAAAGGACTCACAGAGTGGCTTAGGAGGCAGGTATGCTTAAAAATACTTGTGGCAGTTGGAGTCAGCAAAATCTTAGTTCCGCCCATGTATCATGTTTGACGGCATAAGAAAAGTTGGGTAAAGCAAATTAGCAGAACACTCTTTTAAAATATAAAAGACAGCAGACAGAGACAGAAAAGTCAGCAGGTGTAGGCTTTGACCTTACCAGTCAGACACCACAGGCACAGGGCCTGGGCAGGACTCAGAGGCCCCCCGCTTACCTGGAAGAGCTCTTTAAATGAGGGGTGTGCCCGAGGGTTGGGGACAAAAGGCAGGGCGTAGAAAGGGAGGAACTCTGTGGTCTGGCTCAAGGCGGCCCCTTTGGTCTCCAGGTAGGTTTTGAAATAAGAAATCCTTTCATCCAGCTCCTCTTTGTCCTAGGAGGAAGGACAGATGCTCATGGGAGCTCCCCACCTCCATCTCTGCGGGCCTCCTCCATCCCGCCCACACCGCCAGCAGGCTTGTCCGGCCAAGCTAGCATCACCCCCAGCTTCACCCCTTGACAAACTTCAGGAAGCTCAATAATGCCACAGGCCGCTTTCCACTTTCCTCTTACCATTTCCTCACGCTCTGAACATTCTTCGTAACAAAAACCTCCTCTTGTGGGTCTGTCCCCCGGGGGGGCTACACCACCAGTGAGCACAGGTTTGCATTTGAGGATCACGTAGGAGGTGGTTCGGCAGGTGAGTGGAACCGTCCTGTTTTTTGGAGACCGAAGCTTCCACCCACCCTTCCTGCCGCCTAGCGGACTAAGGCCGGATCTGCTGTTCACCACCTGTACGCGGGCAGCTGTCCAGTCAGGGCGGCCACCTCCGCCTGGGCCTCAGAGACAAGGCTGGGAGAGCTGAGCTGCTCAGCCTGGACGCTGGCACTTGCCTCCCCGACGCCTCTGGCCTTGCCCGTCCGTCCCACCACACACCTCACCTGCCCTGCGCCTTTAGCCCTCTTCTGGCCACCAAACTTAAAAACGGTGTAACTTTACTGGATTAAAAAAAAATTTTTTTTATATGTCAAAATGGAAAAATTAGAAAAGAAACAACAGGAAAACGAGAAATTGCCACGATCTCACCCACGTGGGTGTGAGGCGGGCAGCTGCCTGCGTCAGAGAGTGGCCGGCGTCAGGCGTTCAAGAAAATGATATCACTTCTGTGACAGGGATGACTGAAGCTCCAGGTAAATCGGAAAAGAAGCTGCTGGGAGCGAGGTCGGAAATCACGCCTCGGGCTCAAAGGCGCCTCCCGAAGCGTGGTAAATGGCCACGTCACCAAGGGGACGCTGCCAGGGAAGCCACAGCTAGTGGCTACTCTCCGCATCTGGACTGACCCAAGCGCCGGCCCAACCTACTGGTCTCCCCACGGAGTTCTTCAGAAGGTAGATGGCAAAGTGGATGTGCAGATAGAATTCCAGCTTCTGGGCAAAGGAGTCTCGGTCTCGGATGGAGCCGGGAACGTGCTCCTCCCACAAGTCGAAGAACACCTTCTGGTCTCCGCTGTCAAACGCAGCAACGAGGTCCTTCTGCGGAGAAGACACCAGGCTGAAGCCAGTTGAAAGGACGGCCCTTCTCCCAACACCCCAAGTTTTTACAAGCCCCGAAGCTCGTTTGTCCCGTACACGCCCCGGCTCCTGTGTGAGGAAAACCAAGTTCCCTTATCAGAAGCAAAGGACAGGAAATGGGAGACCAGAGAGCGCCCAGCTTCTGGGCCTGCGTTCCCTCAGACCGGCCGTGGCTTCCCTCCCTTTGTAAGGCCAGGTATGGGCATGATAAACAACAGACGAGTCACTTAAGGCTTTTCAGCTGGAAGAAATCACACTTGAGGCCATGCAGCTTGCACAAGCACACTGACATCACCCCTTGGATGCGCTGACCTGCAGCATGAAATAACAGGCAGGGCCACAATCCCCACCAGCCTCAGCGGGACAAATCTCACACAGGTGGAAACGGGCCAGGGGACAGCCACCACCCCCTGCGTGCCCGGGGACTGAGCACACTAGCCCACCAGTCTTGGACAGTGGCTGCCACTCGGGCATGTCGCTGGACACGTGTCTGGCCAAGATGCACCGTGGGGAAATGACCACAGACCCCACACACCCGGACAGTGATGGCCTGGGCTGACAGTTACAGAAAGAGGGAAGCACAGGCCGCAGGTGCACAGCCCAGCCTCGGCGCTGTGCGGGCCGCGCCACGCAGCAGAGACAACTCCCCAACAGCCAACAGGGAGAGCTTTGGAGAAGGGAGGAGGCCATGACGGTGTCGCCCGCCTCATGAGAATCAGACAAGCGCCCGCCGCATGACTGCAGATTCAGAAAAAGGCAGGATGGAGAGACCGCCCCCATCACCTGGAAGAGTGCGACTTCCATCATTTCCCTAGCCGTCAAATGCCTAGGTACCCAGCGCTGCATCTGGGGCTCGACTGCAGTTCTCTTAGATTGGATTTCCCGTGGCATAACTGCTTCTCCCACCAGGTGCCACCTTCGTGCACCACCACTACCTGGTCGCTGGTCTTTTCTACTTACTTTAATGGTCTAACACTTTTCCAGTATAATTTATTCTAGGTTACCTAGGCCACCTGTTACAGCCCAGCTGACTAAATACTGTCACGAGGGTGTGGGCCACTCGGCCCTGTCCCCCCAGGCAAGTTCCAGCCCCAGTAACCCCTCCGTCTTCTTGATGTAAACAGAAGAGGGAAGAAAGTGGGTTGAAATGGCTTAGAATTGCTTGCAATTGCACCCAAACTGCAGAAAATTTCCGTGCATTCTGTACTGGAGGAACAGGCAGTGGTTCCGAAATCTATGACTCAGGATGGAGACTTTTCAGGTCAGAATGGAGTAGGTGGAGATAATATTGATGGTGAAAAAGTTGAGGATGGAAAATTCTTTTCCCCGCAAGCTCAGGGCGTTTACTGCGCATGACAGAGGCAGACGGCGAGGCAAGTGGCCCAGGTCTCTCACACAGCAGTTCCAATTCCTAATTTGGATGGAAACACGGTGTTTGGTCAAG